ATATGTGAATAAATCTAAGAAAATGATTGCTTACCAGTAGTATATAAATTCAGAGTCAGGAGTGATGGTGATACCAAACAACCACAGATTGTCCACATGAGGGGCTGAGAGTGTGACACCTTTGCTTTCTGATGACTCAGCATACACAGACATTGTTTTATGCACAAAATTATTTAAAATATTGTATAAAATTACCCTGAGGTTATATGTATGAGGCCTGTATGAAACATCAATGACTTTTCTGTTTAGACTTAGGTCCCATCCCCAAAATATCTGATTATGTATGTGCAAATATTCCAAAATTGGAAAAAAATCTGAAATTTGAATCTCTTCTGGCTCTAAGCATTTCCATTAAGGAATATTCACCTGTAGTCTGTTTATTGATTTTAAATATAGAGGTTTCTTTTATGTAGAAATCATATTTATGAGCACATAGTGGTAATAACCTTATTATATTTTTCTTTTTAGCCTATATATGCAAACAGATTTCCAGTACCAACCTATGCAGCCAAGCAACCTCAGCAGTTCCCATCAAGGTCAGAAGAAAATTTGCTTAGATTTTTTTGACCAGAATAAAACCTAGGGGTTGATGTCTAATAATTTCCCCTGTATTTTAATGTAATTTAGTGAAAGGTATTTATTGTCAACAGTTTACAAGAACATGATTTGCAGAAAGGTTTTAAAATAACTTTTATATAAATTTTATCATATTGGTACAGGGTCAAAATGAAATATTAAAGAAGCTTGAGCAAGGCATAGATTCTGCTGCCACAGCTTTCATGTGCCTAAGATTTAGAAGCAAGGGCCTTTGAGGTAACCAGCAGTTGGAAACCAGATGGGTTAGAACAGCCTTCCTGTCAAAAACAGCTAAAAAAGCTGGACAATATAAGAAAATATGTGTTTGAAGGCATAGAAGACTAAAGAAGTGAGGAATTGTGGGGGTAAGGTCAGGAGAGGAAGGAAAGCTAGAAATGGCCCCAGCTTTGGGGGCCACTTTTCCTTCCTAAATGAGTTTACCTGTTCTGACAATAGACAGGCTAGGAAGCTGAGGAGAGCGTTCTACAAACTCACAGGGCAGATTGGACAAAATTTGGAATCCTGCCAAAGAGGAGGCACCTTAGCAAACATCTCAGGTTCTGTGCTGGGACCCAGAAGTAAGAGTGGACTAGACCTTCAACTGATTTCTACAATTTCTTATGTTTTGCTCATGATCAAAAAAAGCCAAATGTAAAAGAAAATATGACTAAAACCAAAAAACAATAGGCCATAGAAACAGACTGAGAGGGTATCCAGTAAATAGACGTGGACTTTAAAATAACTATGATGTCATGGAATTAAAAGTCAGTATTGAGAATTTCACCACAGAACTAAAAACTTAAAGAATCAATGCAAATTCTAGAACTGAAAAACACAAGAACTGAAATGACTCAATGGATGGGCTTAAAATCATCAGAAAGGAAGATAATTTATTACTTCATTTTGTATTACATAAAATGCATATGACCCTCCCATCCCCCAAAAGTCTTTCAAATTACAATTGCATTGTAACTCTGAGGACTATCTTCATATGTAATCTTTATTATACAGTAAGAATACATTGAAATCCAACTGAGGATCAGGGGAAGAGTATATAAATTATGAGGGAGACATTCACCAGGTAGTGTTCTAGTGTGTTATTGGAGTAGAGGTGTACTAGAATTGGATGATGAGGTTAGGAGAGGCTGTCCACAGGTGGAAGTATGAGGTTTGAGATGGACACCTGGTGTAGAAGTCATAATACTTTTAATTCTCAGAGTGGATCTTCATGTTGAGGGAGCTATAAACAGCTAGGTTTACACCTAGCAGTAATTTGCTGCCCTCAGATTCTAACAGCACAGGCAAGTGCTTGATCACTTGGTGTCTTTTACAGTTTATCTTTACCATTTCATGTGCTTTTTTTTTTTTTTTGAAAAAACATGTAAACTAGAAACTTCATACAACATTGTTGATTATGGAGTAATATTATTTAAAGTAGATTTTCCATTTTAGGCTCTAATTGGAGCCCTTTAGCCATTGAATATCACCTTAATACTGATCTCAGAATGTAAAGTACCCTTTCCTATTGTCAGAGATGTTGAGGATGGTGTTATGTTGAGCTTGTAATGAATATGGCATTATTTCACCCAGTCTAAACACGCTATTAACTATCTCTTTTCCCCTCACAGGCCACCTCCACCACAACCGAAAGTATCATCTCAGGGAAACTTAATTCCTGCCCGTCCTGCTCCTGCACCTCCTTTATATAGTTCCCTCACTTGATTTTTTTAACCTTCTTTTTGCAAATGTCTTCAGGGAACTGAGCTAATACAATTTTTTTCCTTGATGTTTTCTTGAAAAGCCTTTCTTCCTGTTGAAACTATGAATGAAAACAAAATACCACAAAATAGACTTTACTAACACAGAAAAACAGCAACTGATTGTGAGAGTTGAGAAATACAAGGAAATTCAGTAAAGCCAGGGAATTTACAATAACATTTCCGTTTCTATCACTGAATAAGTCTTATTCAGTCATCAGTGAGGTTAATGCACTAATCATGGATTACGTTATTTTGAACATGTTATTGCAGTGATTCTCAAATTAACTATTGGTGTAAGATTTTTGTCATTATGTGTTTAAATGTTATTCTGAATTTTTTACCTTAGTTATCATTAATGTAGTTCCTGATTGAACATGTGATAATCTAATACCTGTGAAAACTGATTAATCAGCTGCCAATAATATCTAATATTTTTCATCATGCACGAATTAATAATCATCATACTCTAGAATCTTGTCATTCACTACATGAATAAGCAAATGTTGTCTTCAAAAGAATGCACAAGAACCACAATTAAGATGTCACAATATTTTGAAAGTACAAAGTATACTAAAAGAGGGTGTGTGTATTCACACACAGTTACTCGCTTCCATTTTTATGACCTTTCAACTATAGATAATAACTCTTAGAGAAACTAATTTAATATTAGAATTTCTATTATGAATCATGTTAAAGCATGACATTCTTTCACAATAGCACTATTTTAAATAAATTATAAGCTTTAAGGTACGAAGTATTTAATAGATCTAATCAAATATGTTGTTGATTCATGGCTATAATAAAGCAGGAACAATTATAAAATCTTCAATCAATTGAACTGTTACAAAACCACTTGAGAATTTCATGAGCACTTTAAAATCTGAACTTTCAAGCTTGCTATTAAATCATTTAGAATGTTTACATTTACTAAGGTGTGCTGGGTCATGTAAAATATTAGGCACTAATATTTTCATAGAAATTAGGCTAGAGAAAGAAGGAAGAAATGGTTTTCTTAAATACATACAAAAAAGTTACTGTGGTATCTATGAGTTATCATCTTAGCTGTGTTAAAAAGGAATTTTTACTGTGGCAGAAATGGTATGGATAGTAAAATTTTAAGCACTAAAATTTTTTTCATAACCTTTCATAATAAAGTTTAATAATAGGTTTATTAACGGAATTTCATTAGTTTTTTAAAAGTGTTTTTGGTTTGTGTATACATACATATACAAATACAACATTTACAATAAATAAAATACTTGAAATTCTCTCTTTTGTGTCTCCTACTAGCTTCCTACTCAACTATTTATAATCTTATTAATTAAAAAGTTATAATTTTAAATAAAAATTCTAGTCAAGCTTTTATAGATATTATCTCACTAATTGTCGGACTTTTGCCAAAGTGTGCACAGTGGCTTTTGGAAAACAGATTAGTTTTGAAGAAGGCAAAAATTTCAGTTTTCTGAAGACAGCATGTTATTGTAACAATCAAGTATACATATTAAATATTGTGGGCAATCTCAAATGAAGGTCCATCATTTCATTTTAAATCTCTGAATGAATTCATATAAGACTCAAACGTTTATGCCGTTCACTCATGTAGCCTCAATTTTTGCAGTCGCAATGCATATCACTGAAATTTTACAGTTGGTAATGTATTAACTATGTAACTTAACACTTGGAATTAAATAGTTCTTTGGATGTTTGACTAGTTAAGAAAGTTTTTAAAAAGACTATTGGATCTGAACTTCTTTTGCTTTTATATACTTTTTAATATACTTTATGTTTTTTACTTTCTTGGTCATGGATGCCACTTCAAAATTTGAAAATATTAAAGGATGTCCTTTCTATCTTCAAAAAAAATAAATAAGGGTAAATTATGCAAATTTGACATCTCCGTTTGACTCTGTATGTCAAACTGACCTTGTTCAGAGTATTGCATTCTCCCTTTCTCCTGTGTCTGCAACCATAGAGTTAAGCACAATTTGGGTTTTCTAAACCCAAATCAGATTTCATTAAATTTCATAAATGTTTACTAAAACCTACCACTTTTCAGACACTGTATTAGGTACTGTGATATCTAAGTTCTGGATAGGATATGTTTCCTGACTTTTAGAAGCACATCCTCTGTTATGAAGAGAGCCATATACACAAGAATAATACAAAATCAATTCTATTAAAGATACAAACCGAAAGGTTGGGGAGTAAGAAAGAACAAAATGATATAAGAACCAGAAATTCATTCAGAATACTTACCACTAATTGATGAGTTGAAGCATTTACTGTAATTGCTCTTCTGTTTGTTTCAAAGCAAGGTGAAACTAGCTGTGGCTCAGCAGCTGCCTAAAAGCAATGTTAGCTTAGCATTGGCTGTTCCTATTGAGATACAAACTCGGTGTATTTTTTTGTTGCCTTGTTCCGCTATTCCTCCACCCAGCCAAGATGGAGTTTTGCTCTTGTCACCCAGGCTGGAGTGCAATGGCACAATCTCAGCTCACTGCAACCTCCAGTTCCTGGGCTCAAGCGATTCTCCTTCCTCAGCCTCCCCAAGTAGCTGGGATTTCAGGCGCCCACCACGACACCCGGCTAATTTTTGTATTTGTTAGTAGAGACGGGATTTCACCATGTTGACCAGGCTGGTTTTGAACTCCTGACCTCTGGTGATCCACCCACCTCATCCTTCCTAAGTGCTGGGATTACAGGTGTGAGCCACCGCACCTGCCTGTTGCCTTGTTTTTGTTCATGTTATTAATTTCAGCTGTCGATTTCCCTGTTGAAATTGCTTGCATCCATAAAAATCACATCTTCATTTTAAATGTGTTAATTCCTCAAGTGAGATTTTTCTGTTCCCATGAGGCCTTTTAGTTTATGTGTTGGCCTATTACATAGTATGAGAAATTAATCCATTCTTTGAAAAGAATGAAAAGCTAATGCATACAGATGGAGACCTGGTGTGAGGCTGGGAAGGAGGAGGCATTGCAGTTCCAGGGAATAAAGCATTGTTTAGGAAAGACCCAAAGTCAGAGCTGCCAAAGCACTGGGGATAGGAGAAATTAAGTGGCAGGTTCCGGTCTGAGTTCAGAAAAATTACTATGCTGAGGCATTTGGCTAGAATTTTCTACTGAAATGTAAGTACTGTAATTGTGGGCAAGAATCTTCTCTATCTCTTTCACTACATGAAATGAGTATTTACTGCACTGAGAGGTTTCTGAACGATAGAATGACATCACATGAGTTTTAGCCAATGGCCTGCGGAGAACCAGACTGGAGGAAAAAGCCTGGTTATGAAGTCCATTTGGGCAGCGTCAGTGGGGAAAAAATGCAGCTGGCGCTCTTCAAAAATATGAAGAGCTGGCGTTTCATATTGAAAAGCGGCTCACTCTTCCCTTCTTTGGAATATTCACACATCTGGCTAGTTTTGAAAAAATATTAGAAACAGGTTTGGTAAATATGAATATATATTTGGGTGTGTATATAGATTTTAATTCAGAAAGTATTACACATTCGCTTTTGAAGGGACCGAGGAAGCCCCGAACGATGGCAGATGCCTGTAATCCCAGCTACTCAGGAAATTGAGGAGGGAGGATCGCTTGAACCCAGGAGTTCGAGACCAGCCTGGGCAGAATAGTGAGTACCCCCGTCTCAAAAACAAAACAAAGCAACTGGGAAGTGTCTGGTGCAGAAAAGCACACGCTGACTGTGAGTAAGTGTGTCAGTTCTTAAGGTCCATCAACACAAAAGCGAAAAGTTAGTGGAGGACTGCGAGCGCGATCGCGACAGAGGGCGCTGGGTGGTCAGTGGCTCCAGCAACCACGCGGCGGGGTGCGCCGCGAAGGGAGCTGGATGTTTTAGTCTCGGGGCACCCGCTGCGGGCTCTTATTGTTCCGGACGCTGAACACCGAGAGCACCCCGGGCTCCGGGGCCTCCGGAGAACGCTGCCCCATGAACGCGCGGGGAGCGGCCCCCGGCGTCCGCGCGTACCCGGCAACTCCCGGCGTCCCAACGGCTTCCCGCTGGCAACCCCGAAGCCGCACCATGTTCCGCCTCTGGTTGCTGCTGGCCCGGCTCTGCGGCCTCCTGGCGTCAAGACGCGGTGAGCCAGCCCAGACCCTGACACTAGTCCGGACGCTCGTCACACTGCGGCCTGACTCCCTGCAAAGCCCGGGGCCCTCCCTGCCTGAGTCCCTTTGGTCCTGTCACCCTGGCAACGGGGCCTTTTCCAGGGGATTAGGCGCCCCGTCCGCATGGAGAAGCGACTCAGGACCCAGCGCCAGGGCTCACACCTGTAATCCCAGGGCTTTGGGAGGCCGAGGCGAGCTGATTGTTTGACCTCGGAGTTGGAGACCAGCCTGGGCAACACAGCAAGACCCCATCTCTTAAAAAAAAAAAAAATTAAAAATGTTCCGAGGTGGTGGTGCGCACCTGTGCTCCCAGCTACCCGGGAGGCTGAGGGAGGAGGACCACGTGAGTCCAGGAGGTGGAGGCTGCAGTGAGCCGAGATCGCCCCCACTGCACTCCAGCCCGGGCGACAGAGATCCTGTCTTCTTTTTAAAAATTAAAAAAAATTTTTTGTGTGTGACCGAGGTCCTTCTGTTGTGCAGGCTGGAGTGCAGTGGGCAACAGTGGGCAACAGAGGGAGACTCCAGCTCGTAGTTCCCCAGAACTATGAGGAAAATAAATTTCTGTTGTTTAAGCCATGCAGTCTACACTATTTCGTTATGGCAGTGAGAGCTGACTAATACAGTACTTAACAGCAAAATGATTGAAAAACTATAAAAGTTCATTAGTAAGAGAACTGCTAAATAAACTGTAGTTACCTCCAAACAATGCAAATGGAACATTGTGGAGGGGGAGGAAGTAAGACACGCCATGTACTGACTCTGGCTGACAAGATTCAGAACAGTATGTAATAAGAGGAGGAAAATAAGGGCATATCAGAACATTTTACTTGCACGTAAGCCTCCCTGGTGATACTGTAAATTTTTGAGAACTCTTCCTACTCTTCTTCCTATCCTGCCACAATTACCTCTGCAGCATAGCAGAGGTGTGGTCAAGGCCAGGGTGTCAGCCTGGTTAGACTGGGGTAAGGGTTCTCTTCCTGGCTTGTAAACAGCTACCTTCTCCCTGCATACTCACAGGACCTTTTCTTTGTGTACAAGGAAAGAGAGAGCAGGAGCAAATTCTCTGATGTCTCATCAGGGCACAAATCTCATCATGAGGGTCCCGCTCTATACCTGAAACCCTGGTTACCTCCCAAAAGCCATAACCAAATACTGTCACCTTGGGGGTTAGGGATTCAACATAGAATTTTGTGGGATACATTCAGTTCATAACATGTACAAAGTTTTAATGCAGTAATTGTCAAAGTTTTTGGGTTCAGAACTCCCTTATACATGAACAATTATTGAGATTCTCAAAGAGCTTTTGTTTATGTGGATTTATATCAATGTTTAACATATTAGAAATTAAAGTAGAAATGTAAGAATGTGTATCTCATTCATTAAAAATGAAAGTAATGGCCAGGTGTGGTGGCTCACATCTGAAATCCCAGCACTTTGGGAGGCTGAGGCAGGTGGATCACCTGAGTGAGGTCAGGAGTTCGAGATCAGCCTGGCCAACATGGTGAAACCCCATCGCTACTAAAATACAAAAAAATTAGCCAGGTGTGGTGGTGCATGCCTGTAATCCTAGCTACTTAGGAGGCTGAGGCAGGAGAATTACTTGAACCCAGGAGGCAGAGGTTACAGTGAACTAGGTTGTGCCATTACACTCTAGCCTGGGTGACAGAGGGAGGCTCTGTCTCAAAAAAAAAAAAAAAAAAAAGAAAGTAATATGCCTTTTATATGTTAACATACGTATCACATTTTCAAAATAAAAATAACTATATTTTCCAAAACAAAAAATACGAGAAGAGCAGCATTTTTGTGAATCTCTTTAATGTCTGCTTTAATAGAAGACAGCTACTTCTCATTTCTGCTTCTGCAGTCAATCTGTTGCTGTATATTTCATGTGAAATATCTGAAGAAAATCTAGACTATACAGTTGGAAAAGGAAGAAATACCTTAATACCTTTTTTTCAGATAATTGAAGGTATTCTTTGTGTACTACAACAAAAGTTGAGCAATGGTGAAGTTTAGCTGCAATGTAGAACATATCAATGAAGTTTTCTTAACATGCTGTATTAATCCATTATCTATCTTGAACTCTGGTATTTATCCATGTATTTTTGAATGTATTATTTTTTAAAAAATTTTTAAATTTTTGTAAAATACATGTAAAATAAAATTTCCATCTAACCATTTAAAAAATATTAATAGGGCTGGGCGTAATAGCTCATGCCTGTAATCCCAGCACTTTGGGAGGCTGAGGTGGGTGGATCACCTGATGTCAGGAGTTCGAGACCAGCCTGGCCAACATGGTGAAGCCCCGACCGTCTCTACTAAAAATATAAAAATTACAGATGTGGTGGCACGTGCCTGTAATTCCAGCTACTCAGGAAGCTGAGGCAGGAGAATTGGTTGAACCCAGGAGGCGGGAGCTGCAGTGAGCTGAGATGGCACCATCGCACTCCAGCCTGGGTGACAAAAGCAAAATTCCATCTCAAAAAACAAAATAAAATTAAAAATATTAATAAACTTTATTTTTTAGAGCAGTTTTAGGTTCATAGCAAAATTGAGCTGAAAGAGTTCCCATATAGCCCCTGTTCCCAAATATGCATTTCTCCCACTAGCAACGTCTGGCACCATGGATCCATTTGTTACGACTGAGCCTGCACTGACACATCGTTATCATCCAAAGTCCACAGTTTGCATTAGGGTTCATTCTCCACGTTGCACATTCTGTGGTTTTGACAAATGTACAATGACATGCATCCACCATTGTAGTATTATACAGAATAGTTTCACTGCCCTACAAATCCCGTGTGTTCTGCTTATTTATCCCTCCCTCCCCACTGCCGCTGGCAACGACTCATCTCATTAGTCCTCATAGTTTTGCCTTTTCCAGAATGTCAAGTATTTGAAATCATATAATATGTAGCCATTTTGGATGGACTTTTTTTTTACTTAATAATGTGCATTTAAGGTTCTCCCATGGCTTTTCATGGCTCAATAGCTTATTTATTTATTTAATTGTTTTGTTGAGATGGAGTCTTACTCTGTTGCCCAGGCTGGAATGCAGTGGCAGGATCTTGGCTCACTGCAACCTCTGCCTCCCAGTTTCAAGCAATTTTCCTGCCTCAGCCTCCCAAATAGCTGGGATTACAGGTGCCTGCTACCATGTCCAGCTAATTTTTTTGTATTTTTAGTAGAGGTGAGGTTTCACTATGTTGAGCAGGCTGGTTTTGAACTCCTGACTTCAAGTGATCCACCTGCCTTGGCCTCCCAAAGTGCTAGGATTACAGGTATGAGCCACTGCGCCCGGTCGCTTATTTATTTTTAGTGCTGAATAATAGTCAATTGTCTGGATCTACCACAGTTTATTTATCCATTTACCTACCAAATGACATCTTGGTTGCTTCTAAGCTTTGGCAGTTATGAATAAAGCTTCTATAAACATCTATGTGCAGGTTTTTGTGTGGACATAAGTTTTCAACTCATTTGGGTAAATACCAAGACATGCTATTGCTGGATCATATGATAAGCGTATATTTAGTTTTTAAAGAAACTGCCAAACTGTCTTCCAAAGTGGCTGTACCATTTGCATTCCCCCTAGCAATGAATGAGAACTTCTGTTATTAATGCTGTCATATTATAAATTATATGCATAACTATAAGTGCAAGAAATCCTGGCTGTCTTTTTTATTATAACTCAGAAGAGAGAATTTAAACTTTCAAAGGAAAATGCCAACTCCAAACTGCTGATGGTCCCGTCAGCTGAGGGATCTTGCTCAGCAATTTGGGGATGGCATTTTCACATTGAGCAATCACTCCTCATGTCCTCCTCCTTCCAGCCCCTGGCAGCCACTGATCTGCTTTGGATTTACCTGGCCACCACTGTCCCTTTGGATTTACCTATTCTGGGTATAAATGGAATCATACAAAACATGACCTTTTCTGTCTGGCTTATTTCACTTGCATAATGTTTTCAAGGTTCATTTCTGTTGTAGAATGCACTAGAACTTCATTCCTTTTTGTGACTGAATAATATTTCATTGTATACATTCACCCGTTTGTTTACCGATTCATCAGTTGGTGGACATTTGATTGTTTCCAACTTTTGGCTGTTAGGAATAATGCCGCTAGGAACATTCATGTACCAGTTTTTGTGTGGACATATGTTTTCATTTCTCTTGGATATGTACTTACAAAGGAAAATGTTAGGCCCAATGGTATAGGTATGTCCATTTCCTCTTCTGGACTTTGTTATCCCCCAATAATGAATTGGCTATTCTGGGTCTTTTACCTCCTCATGTAAACAGTAGAATATGTTGGTTGATATCCACAAAATAGCTTGCTGGAATTTTGACTGGGATTGCCTTGACATAGAACAAATTGGGAAGAGGCTGGGAATGGTGGCTTACGCTTGTAATCCCAGCACTTTTGGAGGCCGAGGCGGGTGGATCACTTGAGGCCAGGAGTTCAGGACCACCCTGGCCAACATGGTGAAACCCCATCTCTACCAAAAAAATACAAAAATTAGCTGGTCGTGGGGGCACATGCCTGTAATCCCAGCTGAGGCAGGAGAATTACTGAAATCTGGGAGGCGGAGGTTGCAGTGAGCCAATATCACACCACCGCACTCCAGCCTGGGCAACAGAGCAAGATTCTGTCTCAACCAAAAAAGAAAAAGAAAAAGAAAAGAACAAGTTGGGAAACGCTGACATCTGATGGAGTGGCAGTGACTACCTACAATGTTTTGTTGAAAATGATTCTGAGGCTTTGCCTAAATTTAGTGTAAAAACTATGATACCTACTAGATTTTTGAAGTGACATATGCATTTATGTATCAGTCTTTTCCTAAAGTGGGATAGTTGAGGCCAAATTTGGCTTTGCATCAGAACAATCTCTGGATATTTCTAAACATACAGATTTCTGGATCCAAATCCTGGAACTTTAAAAATACTTATAAACTTGTTAATAATTTTTATTTGGT